GGTCTGTTGGCGCGCGCCTGTACACACTGAGCTCTCTCGCCAGGCTCTCTCTTTCGCGCTCGCTCTCTCTCTCTCTCTCTCTCTCTCTCTCTCTCTCTCTCTCTCTCTCTCATTTCTATCTCTATCTCTATCTCTGTCTCTTTCTCTCTTAAAGGCAGTCTCACTATGTATCCCTGACTGGCTTGGAACTCACTATGTAAACCAGGCTGACCTGGAACTGACTATATAGACCTGCTGGCCTGGAACTTCCAAAGATCCACCTGCCTCTCCTCTGCCTCTTATGTGTGTGTATTGCCTGCATGCATGCAAGTGCACCCATGTCGTACAATGCCCACAGACAGAAAAGGTCATCAAATCCCCTGAAACTGGAGTTACGGACAGTTAGCTGCCATATGGGTGCTGGGATTCGAACCCCAGTGTTCTGCAAGAACAGCCAATGCTCTTAACTGCTGAGCCATCTCTCTAGCCACCTTTTTTGTTTTTAATCTTGTGTGTGTGCATGAATGCATAAATATGCATGTATACAGAAGTATGCACATCTGGAAATCCAAACGAGGCTGTCAGGCTTTTGTGACAGCGCTTTACCGACTGAGCCATCTCCTTAGTCCTGTGTTTCAGCTCTGTTGATAGCTAAGGAGCAGCGTGTCTCTTAGTTTTGGGCCAAGAGCAGAGGGTTGGACTTGCAGAACCAAGAGCTCAGGTTTCTCTCTCCCCTGACTCTTTCCACAGACCCCTCTCCTAGATGATCCAGTCTTTATCCACCCAAGCTCTGTGCTTTTCAGAGAGCTGCCTGACTTCGTGGTCTACCAGGAAATCATAGAGACCACCAAGATGTACATGAAAGGTACCACAGGGTGGCACTGATGCACCATGTGGGGCACTCTGTGCATCTGTGAGAGCATGTGAGACCTGACCCTGTACTCCTGGCCCCAGGTGTTTCTGCTGTGGAAGTCCAGTGGATCCCAACTTTGCTGCCTTCCTACTGTCAGTTTGATGGGCCCCTGGAGGAACCAGCCCCCACCTACTGCCCTGAAACCGGCCGGGTACTCTGCTACCGCACCAGTGTGTTCTGTGAGTTGGGGCAGCTTCCTGGATGGTCTAGTCCCCTTAAACTCTGGGCTTCTTGCACCAGTCTGACTGTACCCTGGCCCTGAACATGGTTTAAGAATGTCTCTCAAGCCTTTCTGCTCCTCTGATGGACAGGATAAGGGTCACTAGGATCTTGGGAGGATAGTTACAGTCCCTTCATCATGGGTTTCCACCCCCCAGATCGTGTGGGCTGGCCACTCCCCGCCGTCCAGGTGGACTTTCCGGAAGGCATTGACCGCTACAAGCACTTCTCCCGGTTTCTGCTGGAAGGGCAGGTAGATGCTGCGGCTTCCCTGGGCTGGTTTCCTAGGTGGCATAGGTAGCACAGGCCCTGTTCAACCCTCCTGTGCTCTCTCACCAGGTCTTCCGAAAGCTGGCTTCATACAAGAGCTGCCTGCTCTCCAGCCCCAGCACCATGCTGAAGACCTGGGCCAGGTACAGCCTCCAAGATTATCTGGGCAGGTGGTGGCAGAGGGACCAGTCACTTGTGCTGGGAACATAAATAGCAGGAAGTTCTTTAGTTCTGGGGCCCTCAGAGGGCCTTGACCCATCCCACCCCTCTGAGAATGACAGGGGCCTCCCTGTGTCTTCACTCTGATCCCTCCGTGCCTATCCTCTTGGTAATTATGTCACTTCAGCCTTGGCCTCCTCCTCCTCCTCCTCTCTCTGTCCTCTCCGTATATGGGCCCCTGTCTTGGTGTTAGGGCTCACCCTAGGCTGGTTAGGAACGTCCTTATATCACAAGGGGCCCAGTAGATGTGAGTGTGGTGAGGTGCTAATGAACCCTCCAGGCCCCCAGTGTACAGAGGGCTTCCTGTGACTGAGTGCCTGGTCCTACCCGCTCTCTGCTATCCCTTTCCCTGGGCCCTCTGTCCCTCCTAGGTCTAGTCATCTGCCCCCTGCCTACCCGTCCACAGGCTACAGCCCAGGACAGAGAGTCTGCTGCGAGCCCTTGTGGCAGAGAAGGCCGACTCCCGAGATGCCCTGCTGGCTACATGGAAGAAAAAGCCCACATGTGAGTGTGGCTAGGAGGTGGAGGTTGCTTAGTGGGAGGACCTGTGGGTGGTCATGGTGGTGGTGGTGGTGGTGGTGTCCCCCACCAAGTAGGTTCCTGTCCTGGCAACTCTAACTGTGGCTACCTCCTCCCTGCAGACCTGCTGGCCGAGTACTGTGAATGGCTTCCCCAGGCCATGCATGCCGCTGTTGAGAAGGCCTGGCCACCCACCACTGACTGCTGACTACACATCTGACTACATAGTCATGTGGCCCCATGAGACACACTGGCCCTGGAAGCTTTTTTTACCTTGGCCCAAATCCGAGCCATTGTACTTGCCATTGCACTGATCAGAAGTGCCTTCTTTGTAACTATTTATTGCCAGATGGAAGTAGTTTTATCTCCCACATTCCTCTCAGTCCTAAATTTGCTCTTTGGGCTCCATTAGTCCCTATGGACATGCAGGGCCACTGGGACAGGAAGGCAGGTCCTTCCCCCAGGTGCACCTCAGAGCATCCCAGGCAGACTGCCGACCTCTGCTCTGACCTCAAGGGCTTCTGGAAGCTTGTTCCCCAGATAAAGGACAGATACCAGCCCTGCTCTGTCCAGGGTGAAGCCTGGTTCCCAGGGGCCTGATGTGACTTTGGACAGCAAGTTCTGTCGTAAAAAGCTGCCCTAACTGGGTATGTGGGTGAGCCTGTCATTTAACCACTCAAGAGGCTGAGGCAGGAGAATCACAAGTTCAAGCTACATAGCAAGACCCAAAAAACCTTAATTATAGTAAATATACATGACAGAGTTTTCTGCTTTAACTATCGAGTTCAGTTGTATTAAACATGTTCACATGTTGAGTGGTTGTCAATGGTCAGTTCCCAGAATTCAAAGAGATCTGCCTGCCTCTGCCTCCCAAGTGCTGGGATTAAAAACATGCAGTACCATGCCCTGCATCCAGAATGTTCTATATCATCCCAAAGAGAAGCTGACCCATTAACCTCATCCTTGCCCTCCTTCCCTGGCCCTGGCAGCTGCTAGTCTACCTTCCATCTCCACTGTACATGTTATATAAATAGAACCAAACCACCCCTAGTCGTGCCCCCCCCCTTATTTTTCATTTGAGACAGCCTCACTATATAGCTCTCGCTGACCTGAAACTATGGAGACCAGGCTGATCTCAAGTCATAAGAGATTCTTCTGTTAGCTTCCTGAGTACTGGGATTGAAGGCGTGTGCCACCAGGCCCAGACTTCTCTTTTTTTTTTTTTTTTCAAAGTTGGGGTCGTTCATTGGAGCAGATGGGAAATAAGACAGTCTTTGAGGTCTGAGAGCAAACTTAGAGCAGAGAAGCCCATCCTGGGAGAAAGACCTGGTCACCAGCTACGAAGACATCAGTCTCTTGGGTTATGGTAAAGGAGGGGGACCCTGAGGGCACCAAGCAGGTCCAGTATATCTGGAAGATGGTGATCTAGACAGGACACTGACCAAGAAGAGGAGGCTGTAGCTGAGGACCTTGATGTGCAGGTCTCCTGCCTTGCTCACTACCTGTGTCCCCAACACAGAAGCAGATGTTAAGAAAATTGCAAGATTAGACTTGAACTCGACTTTACTGTCTCACCCTCCTGAATGCTAAGATTGGAGGTCCTAGGTCACCATGCCTGGCTTTGAAATGGGAGGGAAACTAGCAAATGGAGCTGGAAAACACAAGGATAGACAAAAACTATAGAGTCAGGAGTGCTAGCACATCCCTGTAACTCCAGGAAGGTGGCTGAGATGGGATTTCTATAAATGCCATGTCATATACATACATGTGATAGGATCAGTTGCATAAGAAAAGATGCTAGGCAAAGGCTGGCATAGCACATCTCCCATGATATTAAGCTATGAAATCTAGAGACCCAGGTGAACCTTCACTCTGCTTTTTTCTAATTTACTTTGGGGATGTGTGATTCTGATAAACAGCTCTAAATGCTCCAAACCTAACAACCAATCACTAAGTGAGCAAGTGAAATGGACAGTTCTCAAAGACTGGAGTAGAATTGGCAGTGAACAAAAGTGCTCACCTCACTAATCAGAGAAATCAAGAAATAACGAATGGGCTGGAGAGATGGCTCTTACAGAGGACCCAGTCTCAGTTCCCAGCACCAACATGGCAGCTAACAATTGTTCATAACTTTGTTCCAAGGTATCCAGCACCCTCGTCTGACCTCTGTGGGCCTTGCATGACAGGTGCACTTATATACAGGCAGACAAAATACTCATACAAGTAAAATAAAAATAAATTTAAATAAGCCCAGCATGGTGGCACAAGCCTTTAAACCCAGCAGAGGCAGGCAGATCTCTCTGAGCTCAAGACCAGCCTGGTCTACATAGTTCTGGCCAGCTGGGGTTATGGGGAGACGCTGTCTCAAAAAATTAAAAATTGGGGCTAGAGAGATTGCTCTTGCAGATAACCTGGGTTCTGATCCCAGCACCCACAGCAGCTGACAACTGACTATTACTCCAGCCCCAGGGGATCTGGCCTCCACAGGCAAAACACTTATATGCATAAAATAAAAATAAATCTTTGGAAGGATTTAAACGCTAAGAAATAGAAACATGAGAACATTTTCTGGGTTAAAGAAATATAATTCTGGCTAGGCATAGTGGTGCATATCTTTAATCCAAGCACTCAGGAGGAAGAGGCAGGTGGATCCCAGTTCAAGGCCATCCTCTTCATATAACCAGTTCCAGTCCAGCTGGAGCTACATAATTATATAGGTTAGATAGTGAGACACTGTCTCAAACAAAACAAAATCTCTGATTCTGAAGGTGACAGGCTGGGCTGGGGTCTTTTTGCTCTACTGGGTTGGGTAGAGGTAACATGTAGTATCTCCCTGCCACAGTGCCAGCTGCGTGCTCACATCCTGGCCTACTTGCAGCTCCAAGTCCTTTGAGACCAAAGAAAGACAAGGCTTGAGGTCTTCAGGGTGCACTTGTCACTCAGCTTTAACTGGGTCCCCTCTCTTGGTAGCTTTTGTCATCAAGGCAGCAGAAGCAGTGTAAGTGACTCCTCCCTGCATTACACTGGATCTTGCTGCCACTAATGCCATGATTTGTCTAATTTTAAAGAAAGGCTTTGGGGTTTGGGGGTTTTTTTTGTTTGTTTGTTTGTTTTTTCCTTTTTGAAGCAGGGTTTCCCTGTAGCCCCAGCTGTCGTAGAACTCACTATATAGACCAGGCTGGCCTTGAACTCACAGAGATCCACCTGCCTCTGCCTCCCAAGTGCTGGGACTACAGGCGTGCACCACCACATCTGGCTAAGAAAGTTTTTTTTAATTTTATTTTTTATGTGTGTGAGTGTTTTTCCTGCATGTATGTAAGTGTACCTGTGTTGTGCAGTGGCTGTGTAGATCAGAAGAGAATGTCAGATCCCCTGGAACTGGAGTTCTAGAAGAGGGTTGTTAGCCACCATAAAGGTGGTGGGAACTGAGCCTAGGTCCTCTGCAAGAGGTTAAGCCAGTGCTTTTTACCACTGAGCCATCTCTCTTGCCCTCATAGTTTGTCTGTTTTAATTTAATTAACTAATTATCTTTAAATTTTTTTAAATTCCACTCATGTATTTATTTGGGAGGAGAAGGGAGGTAAACAATGTGCAGAAGTTTTCTCCTTCTACCATGTGAGTTCCAGGGACCAAACTCAGGTGGTTAGGGTTGGTGCCCTGACCGGTGCTTTCATTTGTGGAACTGTCTCACTAGTCTTAATTAGGACTTTTGTTTTAATTTTAGAAATAATATTCAGTTATTGTGTGTATATATGTGCATGTATACACAGACACATAGAGGACAACTTGTGGAAGTCAATTGTTGCCTTCCACCTTGTGAGTTCTGTGGAACAAACTCAAATTAGGTTTGGCAGCAAGCACCCTTACCCACTGAACCATCTCCTGGGCCCTGATTAGTACCAAATACATGGTTGAACCTATTCAGGAATCTTTGCCATCAGCTGGGGCATTTCCACCCTTTGTGTTTCTCATGTAAATTACTTGGCTGTTTTGAAACCAGTTTGTTAAGTCCTTTACTAAGGAGTTCCAGAAGGGCTGCCCTGGCCAGGGAACCATGAATCTTCAGTCTCTTAGAGACCACAGCTGGAGTAATAAGTTTATTGTTGGGAATTTCCTTACAAAGTTTGACATATATAGTGTTGTCAAACAGGACCAGGTTGTTGAGTTTGTCCCGAACTTTGCCTTTGGACCACTTCTTTTGGCCTTGCCTCCAGACTTGTTTACTGGGTCTTTTTCTTTTTTATTTTCTTTTGAAATTATTTTTGGTCTTTTTGAGACAGGGTCTCCCTGTAGACCAGGCTGGCCTGGAACTCACAGAGATCCACCTGCCTCTGCCTCCCAAGTGCTGGGATTAAAGGTGTGCTCCACCACATCCAGCATTGCTATTTACTTTTGTTGCAATAATTTCCAACAATTTATAAAAATAGAAATTACTGAAGAATGTCCAACTTCAACTAAAATTGTGTTAATATTCCATAAAATATAATTTCATCTATACTGATAGAAACAGGTTTCTGCTGTTTGAGGACAGAGGAGCCAGAGGAAAGTACTAAGAGTCCCAAGGGGCCCAAGGAAACTTTAACATGATGGATGTTTCCAATATCTCTCACTATGTAGACCACCAGGCTGGCCTTGACCTCACAGAGATCTACCTGCCTCTGCCTCTGCCTCCTGGGAGCATCACCACCCCAGCCTAGCGTTTTCTAGAGTTTTTCTTGAGGCAGGATCTTACTATGTAGTTCTGTCATGTAACCCACGTAGCCCTCAAACTCATGGCAATCCCCCTGCCTCAATCCTCCCAAGTGCTAGAATTTTCAGGCACCAAACCTGCCTTGTTTTTTGGTTTTGTACATTGTTTGTTTTGAGACAGGATGTCACTGTGTAGTGTTTGGCTGCCCTGGAACTCACTGTGTAGCCAGCTTGACTTTGAAGTCTTCATGATCCTCTTGCCTCTGCTTCCTAGATGCTTGGGAGTACAGGTGTGTGCTGCCATGCCCAGCTTGCTTTGGTTTTGTTGATGCTTAAGATTCTTTTATATACATTTTGGGGGTTGGGGAGTCATGTGCCACAGTTGCTTGTGGAGGTCAGAGGACAACTTTCAGGAGTTGGTTCTCATCTTCCACCATATGAATCCCAGGAACTAAACTCAGGCCATCAGGTTTGATGGCAAGTGCCATTACCTGGAGACCCATCGCCATTGCATCATTGTGTTTTTGTTTTGTAGACAGGGTCTCATCAGGGTCTCTGGCTGGCCAGGAACTTGATATGTAGACCAGGCTGGCCTCAAACTCACAGAGATCAGCCTCCCAATTGCTGGGATTAAAGATGTGCACCACCACACCTGACTGCTTGTTTTTATTTATTTATTTATATTTATTTATTTATTTATTTATTTATTTATTTATGCCTACATGTGTATAAGTGCACCCATGTCATGAGATGACCATGTAGGACAGAAGAATGCCTGGAAACTGCACTCAGGTCCTCTGCAAGAGCAGTCAGTGCTCTTAACCACTGAGCCATCTCTCCAGCCCCAAGCACCTTCCTTTTTTTTTTCTTTAATTTTATGTGTATGCATGTATTGCCTGCATGTAGGTAAGTGAAGTGCACCCATGTTGTGCAATGCAGAGGTCAGAAGAGGCTGTCAGATCCCCTGGGACTGGAGTTACAGACAGTTGTTAGTTGCCATGTGGGTGCTAGGATTCAAACCCAGGTCTTCCGCAAGAACCATCAGTATTCTTAACCGCTGAGCCATCTCTCCAGTCCATTTTATTTTTTAATAATCATGTATATGTAGCCGGGCACATGCCTTTAA